GTGTGTGTGTGTGTGTGTGTGTGTGTTTGTTCCATCTGGGCTCTATGTTTAGGATGTATTTGTTACTCTTGAAGATCTTTTTCAAACCTGAGTGCATCTATGAACACACTTGTGTATTCCTTCATTGTGTGGGTGTGCGCTGTATAAACAGGTGGGTGTTTTGAGGTAAACCCATTATTCCCACAGCAATAATGCGAGATTGTAGAGTTTGCCTACACCAGCAGCAGACTGCACCCAAGGGCCCCTCATCTAATATGTCCTCTTACAAAAGCACTGTTTGGATTGGTCTCCCACACACTGCCTCACCCCCCTGCTGGACACACACACACACACAACTTTTTGTAGGCATGCACACAAATTTGCATACAATTTGGATTTTTTTCAACAAATCCCAACGGCTGAAAATAAAAGGTGTGAAGAAAAGAAGTGTGTGTGTGTTTGTGTATGTGTGTGTGCACTGTAATCTCTCTGATAAAGGAACAATAGATGGGGATAGTACAGGGAGAGATGGAGATATCATGAAGCCCTCAGTCTGACACTTCCACTATCAGCTCTGACACAGACAGAGATGGAGGCAGGTAGACCAACAGATTAAAAGAGTGTGAAAATACCAAATCTTTATTGTCTCTATCAAAGCAATGCAATGGTTGAACTTTCTTTTCAGTATTTATGGTGGCTTGTCTCCTCTTTCTTTTAAAATCAGAAGACAGACTGACAGTTCAAACTTCTGGCAGAGCTTGATGAGGAACCTGTGCAAATGATCAAGCTGTCACTGCAGTTAAAGGCTGAGGGTGTTGTTAATGTTCCATTTCTCGACAAATGCAGAACATCATTAGTGAATCGTGAGATTTACTGTCTATTTTGAGGCACCATGCTAAATCTATTCATCTCAGGGTCATTAAGTGTTATTTTTCTCATAGCCTGTGTTCACTTGGTAATTTGATGACTCACAATGAGCTTGAATGTACCAGAGCTGGAGGAGAGACACAGTGGGTGGGGTGTCAGCCACCATTAAGCAGCGCAAGGCGGTATTGATAGAGGATTAACATGATCAGTGGTGGCACCACCTCCTTTTTCAGAGTTGAATAGCATAAGGTAAAGTCAAGTTCTGTGATTTTTTGTGATTGAACAGAACAGATCCTACACCTAAGACAAAAGCACCGCGCAAAGTAAGAGCGTGTTTACTATACAGTGGAATGTGGGAGTAGGCAGAGGGATTTGTGGATTTAAGTTGTTTAGAAATGGGGTTTTTTCCACTGTGGTGACTGTGGCTAGTGGTATTACGTTTTCGTCCCATTCTTGTAAACATGATATCCCCTATGGGGAATTTCTTCACATTTGGTACAAATGTTCAGTTGGACTCACAAGATTAAGTGATAAGATTTGTACAGTCAAAGTCAAGGTCACACTGTCCTCACAAACCATGTCCTGGCCTCTTTAACATGATATCTCAAATCTGACTTTAGGGAATTTCTTCAAATTTATAAAAGTTGTCTATTGGACTCAAAGATGAATTGATTAGCTCATACAAATCTGGAAGAAACATTAATGTAGACATAAACTGCACTGGTTGGCAGAGGCCTACACAATGTGGCACCTCTGGTTCCTCATTATTATGTTACTATTTCACTGTAGAATATTACTTGAGTAGTTGTATGTGTTATACAGGCAGTGGACACAATAAGGTATAATAAAATATACAGTTAGGTCCTGCCAGAAGATTTGTCTTTGTGAGGTTAATACTGTAGCTCAGGTTGCTGTTGTAGTGTACTGCACATTATGTGGTAAAATACTTCATACTTAGGTTAAATCATGGTTTGTAGGCCTATACACAGTGACAAAATATTCAGCATTCTGAACATAAAATGAATAGTGCTACTGTATTGGATTACATTCCACTGTGTGTTCATACAATGGTAAAAAAGGACACAAAGTTTAGTGCATTTGATGGGGTATATCCAAAATACATTAGCAATGACCTGAAGTGGAATAATGACACTCAACACATCATTGCAAAAGCTCAGCAATGGCAGTTTAAAAAAGAAAAGCCTGAGCAGCAATCATCTTTGTGTTCTGTTCTACCTGCCGTTATCACATCCTCTATTACGGTACAGCAGCGCAGATCGTCAAACTACAGCGGACTGTCGACACAGCATCAAAACTCATTAACAGCCCGCTCTCTCAAGTTGAATCTACAGATAATCACAGGACTGTAAAAGAAGCAAAGAAGATCATCTCTGACCCCTTTACATCCTGCTCATGAGGCCTTCCAGCTCCTGTCCTCAGGGAGGCGCTACAGGTCACCACCTCCTTTACAAAGCACTTTTTCCCCACATAGCAATCAGGAGTCTGACATCTTCGCTCTAATCAGACAGACAGACCAGCAAACTCATCACCAAATGTATGTGGTTGTGACTGATATGTTTTATCTGTTGTATCATAGTTTTGATTCACAATAATGTGTGGAATGTCGGCTGTTGTCCATTTACATATTGTGCTGCAGAGTTTACTGAAAAATTCTACCAGCATTGGTTGAGTGGCTGATTGAATATCTTTCAAAACAATCTATCAAAAGCAGCAATCACAAGAAGGCAGTATAATAATCAGGTAATGTTGCCATATCAGGTATCACATTATACGTTAGAGTTTAAATCTAATGCTGGCCAGTTTACAGCAGGAAGACATGAAGAGACATAATTAATGAGGAGCATGATCATCAGTTAAACCTTCTGACTGCAGCACCTTCAAAAGTAATGTTTTCCTGTAACTATACATTTGTTAACACAGGCTGAGAATGTGAATTTGTCTTTGTTGCAAACACCTGCAGCCTGAAGAAAAGCTTGAGATATGAACCATGCTCTTATCAGATATATAACTATCTGTTTTGGATTTAAATGAATATTAGTGTTAATATAATATGACTGACTGTTTTTGAATTAAGACTTAACAAAAAGAAAAGCACTAGGAATAGAACAGATAATCTGCACCACATTTGACATTTTTTCATTTCTGGATAGTGGAAGGAAGTAGAGACACATCGTCTATCTTTATAGTCTATGATGCAAACCCTTCAAATTACTGCTGTTGTGAATTTTATAATTCCAAAAACAATCCTCATTATTGGATCAGGGATTTAAGTAAAGCATTACAGAGTTTCCTGGAAGCGAGCAGGTGTTTTCCCTCTCGGCTACGACTAGTCTCCTTTACATCAATGAGAGAGAGAAAAAGGGGATGAGATGTAGGAGGGGAGGGTGTGAGACGGAGAGAGAGAGGGTGTCTGCAAAGAGAGACACAGACATCAGCAGGGTAAGAGTGAAAATGCTGAATACAAACTTTTATCTACGTATATATGACTTATCTACAAAAGTTAAACACCACATCTGCAGAAACACTGAGTGGAGGGCATGTCATCCACTATAATGTATCTAAAGTAGATGATGCAGAACATAGAGGTATATACAGTATGATACATGGGATTTATATCAGTAAGTATGACATTCAGATCCCCTCGCTGCTGTGCTCTGTCCCTGGTGTCTGCAAATAAATCCTTTGAAGTCGACAGTCGACACACAGATGAATGCATTGATGAGTGCTTTGGATACTTTGCTCTCCATGTATACTCTTCCCCTGCCGCCACCACCCCGCCTCCGTCTCACACTCACTCTTTTCCTCTGAGTGACAGATTGAGTTCAGTTGCAGCCTCAGCAGGAATCCCACACACAAAAGCAGAAAAGCAAGGGAACTCTGGCTGACACCAATCTACATGTGTGTGTTAAGTGTGTGTCACAGCCCATCTTGTGTTTATGAGTGATCGCATCATATGTCAGTTTTTGTTTATGACTGTATTTTCTGCTGTGGATGTGAAGGTGTGGGTGCCTGCACACGAATGTCTCTCACATAAGCAGATTGAGGATTTAAGACACTGAATAGAGATTAGGTTTTTCACTGGGTGTATGTGTTAGTGTGTATGCAAGGACAGGAATGTCCTTGCAGGAGTTTCTGAAGCGTCCACCAAATCAAGTCACTTTTCACAGTAAATCATCAGACAGATAAATGACCTCAATCGTAAATCTAATCTGGAGGCCTGTCACGTCTACTTTTAAATTTTACCACAGCAATGAGCTTCTACGTCAGGTCAATGGAGATCATACTGCATATCACAACTGAGTCACATTCACCATCAATTCAACACTCACACACAGTTTCACACAGCAGTACAACCACTAACTTGTCCATACAACAAATGAATAGGACTCAAAATTGTTTAGAGATACATTCAGTAAGGCAGCAGAGGTTTATAGTTAGCAATAGTCTAGTTAGACATTCAACCAAGTATCTGTAGAGCTCAGTACTGCCGCTCGTCTGTGGTCAATCTGCAAAGCATTGCGTTAGGTGAGGCAGACCCCTGAAGTCACATTGGAATAAGCTGACTGGCTCCAGCTATGTACAATTGACTTCTAATTATTGGCTCATTCAAAGATGTGTCTCTAGTAACATCCATTCATATTTATTCTGCTGTAAAATCGCTGGCAATATAATCTGACACTTTCTAAATGTTACTCTGACGGCACAATTTGCCGCAACTCCCTCCGGCACCATCATCCCCCCATTTTGAATATTTTGATTTAACTGATTCAAGTCCATCCATCCATAATTTTGATGATTTTATTGGCACTTACGGGCTATTGGCCCCGCCTCCAGAGCGAAATTGGACATACGGGGCAAGTTGTAGGAGGAGCCTGACAGCTTCTGGCCACTCCCCCTCATTGGAGCGAAAATCACAAGAGGCGGAATCACACTCCTCGAAGCTGAATTGGTAGTATGAGTTTGAGTCCGAGAACACCACCCGCTGATCCACTGCAGAAAGAGCAGACACACAGGTAAACAACTGAGAAAAGTATCAAGAGGAAGAGTATCAGAAGAGTATCAAAAAAACATGTTAGTTTGTATATTCTGCATCATGATTAGTCAATGACATGGATTAACACACTTAACTCATGGCCAAATGCTTGTTGAAAATATATGGGTATGAGAAATGCTGACATATTCAATTTAATTATCGCACTACAACTGTCCATGCTTAGAGCCTGCTTTAATATTTCTGAAGCATTTCTCTCAACTTTGCTGGAATAGATATTGTTTTATCTCTCTTGCATTCTGTCAGGCAGTTTGGCTGTTATCATTACACACAGACAGGACTGAACATAAACTATGTTAAAATATTATTTAAGCAGCATTAGGGAAACATGATACCAATTATTAACAGCCATTAAAACATACTGCTCACACAGTTGTATATATTTAAGTCACTGTATTCTGAGTGTGGGTGAAAAACATTGATGAGTGTCAATACCACCTGGATTATTATGGATTGTTATGATAAAAACAGACATATTTATTTGAAATTAACACTGGTAGTTAATATTTAACTTTTGCTTGGTTCGAGAGAAGTGCTGAGACACGTTCACCCCGATAAACTTAATGAGGTCTTTGTATCAGGGTTAGTGGATTAGTCAGACCAGTGAACTGCACCTGAGCAGGACTTATTCATTCTTTAAAGAGCCTTTGAATATTACACTGACAGTATGTGTATGCAGTCTTTACAAAGCTTAGTCATGTAAACATAGTTTCTACATTATTTTCTTTACATCTGCTCCACTGAATACAGAAACATGGGTTATCATATGTGAATATGCCAATATCAAAATTTAAGATTTTATCAAGAAGTTAATTGTGTTTTACAGTCTTATTTGTTATTATAGAATATGGCAGAATATCTACTGATATTAGATTGGGGGCAAGGGATACACAATGCACTCAGTGCAATTTTACATTGTGGACAATTAATGCCAATATCTTTATCGAACAAGATCTGACTTAAAATCAGGTTCCTGTGCTGAGGAGGTGAGTTAATCTTTTCAGTTGGAATAAGCCTGGTAAACAGGTTCATCTCTTGTCTCTTCAGAGATCTGTACATTGTTGCTGATGTTGCTGCAAGGTGACTATAAATTTTGAAGTGCAGTCCAACCCTGAAGCGTATTACAGTGAGTGTGTGTAGCATATGTGAGAATGTGTGTGTGTATGGTTGTGTTAATACCAGACAGCAGGACTCCAAGCTCCAGCAGCACCTGCCAGACACGCACAGCAGTAGTCCGACAGCGCACGTACACACACTGCTCGCACAACCACTGCACCAGTTCCACGCCCACATAGCTACGCCTGTTAAAACACACACACACACACACGAACACATTTTCAACACACAAGTCCGGCCACACAGTGTTATGATCCAGAGGCACATGCACATAAACATCAACCTCTTCCTTCAGCACAAAGCTCGTCTTTATTTAATCAATATCCATTGATTATTCATTAGTTCTCTGTAAGCCTTTTCCTCTGAAACACTGAATAGTTTCCTTCTGCCGCCCCCACCCCTGAGATATACTCTTGCGTGTGTGTGCGCGTGTGTGTATGAGTGTGTGTGTGTCTGTGTGTGTGTGTGTGAAAGCTATGAGCATCTATTTATATTTGTGTCCAGATGTTCACATTGTTTATACATGCATCTTTATATACTGTACATTGTGTGCAGTATGGAAGTGCATGTATTCCCAGACCATCTTGTGCTCCACTGTACAATGTCTACGTCACACTATATCCATCTTACTGCATAAACAACTTGAGTGGCCAATCAGGACAAGGCTCAAAACTGACTGGTAAGTCAGCGAATATGCTTCATCAGACATATCGATTCTGCCTTGCACACAGACACACAAACACAGAGACAGAGTGTACCTTATGATTCTGGCCAGGTGTATCTTGTCTTTAGCTGGGTATGGTCCATGAGAGAGGAAGGCATTCCTCACAGCCCGACCGGCACATGGAAAACTCTGGGAGCAAGACTGACACACAAAGACTAATCAAAATAAATGTTTTCCTGAATTCCAGAAAAGAAACTAAGCACCTAAAAATGAAATAAAGCTTATCTCATCTTTGTTTTGGATAGCGGTTCAAGAAAGCGGAGAGCTAGGTGGCTATATGTGACTGTCATCGACCGACTCACAAGAACAACTCAATTTCTTTGCCCCCTGAGCAACGCAACACTGACTGTGTCTACATGCTCTGCAATAATCCTGCTATTGACACTGTTGCAAATAAGACTGTATTTCTATTAAGCTGTTAACATGGGCAGTTTGTTCTGTTCCATTGATATTCCCATTGCATGCTACTCAGTGGAGTTCACTTAATAGCTGATGAGGCTTTATTCACATTATGTTAGATTATTAGTGAGTCCATCTGGTGTCAATTCAACCTCTGATGCAGTCTCATCTTGTTGAGTTGATCGTGTAGCCTTGTGGCTGTATGGGTAGAGATTTAAAACTTTATTTCAAGTCATGACTCGTCAATTAAAAGATTTTTTTATAGTGAGATGGCGGTGCATGTATTAGCTAAACTGACTGGTCCACTGCAAGATTAAAAGGAACCATCTGGATGTTTTTAGCACTAGAAGTGCTGTTGAGTCTTTTTGTGTCCATATCATGTTTGCATCCCATTGCACATATAAATACAAACAACTCAAAAAGCTGTATGCTTTCCCACAGATGGATTAATGGTATCTTTTAAAAGATATTTTTTCTGGCGTTTTGCCTTTATTGATAGGACAGCAGAAGTGTGAAATAAGGAGAGAAGCAGTCGGAACTGAACCTGCAGCTGCTGCAGGACTCCTTATATGCACATTCTTGATTAACAGTTTGTATCATAAAATAAATACCAAGAACACATTACTATGCCACCAACAGGTAAACAAGAACCAGAATGTTGCAGTATACATACACTGCAATTGTTGACGGACACATAATTTTTATTTCAGCTGTGACTTTCATAGAAGGTTTCAGACCTTCAAGGAAAATCACTGATCCTTTGTGGAGCAGCAAAATGATGTCATCAATGACCTTCAAACACAGAGCCTGGATTCAAACAGGCTCACACAATCAGCACTTGAGTCTGACTTCACATTTTTTACTGGTGTAACTCTGCTTTGGCACCACATCATTGTAAAGAACTGCCATGTACTTTACTTAACTTGCAAAATATAGAATATAGAAAACCTGGTAACGTACAACTAATATAAAATACAACAGTGCAGAGGGACGAAGCCAATATACAGTTAAGATACAAAATATTTTAGCAAGTATGTGTACATGTGTGTGTAGTTGGTGAAAATAAGGAGGTAATATCACCGGTGACATCACCTGTATTGAGGCTAAACAAACACAATTTCGCCTCACAGCAAAACTAAAGAGATGACATCACCTGTGTGTGCTTTCCCACCTTGTGTACTGTTGGTCCGGTACTCGGTCCAGGGATAGTGTCAGGTGACTGCTGTTGAGAAACAGTACACACAAGGCATTAGAGCGAAAACACAATGAAGTGCACACATTAAACACACTGAACAAACAAGACCGAAATGAGAAAGACCAGTTTTACAATTCCAAAACCATTAGTCAGGTTTTGGTCATATCAACCGTGGTTACAGCCACTGCTCATACACTGACTTTCTGGTTTTATTATAAAGAAAAAGGGGATAAGTATGTAATTATCTCACCTAAATAGTTTAATGGTGACACACATTCACTAGCGTATATCAATATGAAACCACATCAAAGAATAATAAACAATACAAATATGTGTATTGGCTCCATTCTTCCCTCCAACAGGAAAAAATATTGAATTGATACCATAATAAATCTTTTTTTGATCGGATTACGGCTTTTTCCCTGGGCAGATCAACTTCACCACTTCATCAGGAAATAAACTCTAATCTTTATGGATTAATATTGTGCCAGAGGAGTTAGATGACAGTCGACACTGTGGTGACAACCTCATAAAAAAGATGAAAAATGAGAGTGTTAGATTAAGTTGTTTAATTGGGGACAGACAACAGGAATCCAATTCATGAATCAGAATTTAGGCAGTAGGATCAAAATGTTTATTTCACAACTCAGGTTTCAGCGCAAAATCTGTCTGAAACAATCAGACGGAGAAAAACGTTTGGAATGCAATAAAGGTACTGAGACAAACTGACACGGAGAGAAGGAAACACAGAGACTAAATGCACAGGGTATATGAGACGAAGGTGAATCATGGGTGAATCAGGACAGGTGATCACACAGGCGGGAAACATATGAACCTAGGAAATTAAGTCATCTCAAACCTGGCATTCCAAAACTAAACAGGAAATAAGAACTGAAAAAGATAGAAACAAACACACATGGCCTTAGCAGAGGAAGATGTGACATCGGTTGTAAATGTATCTTTTTTTAGCTTTTCACTGCAGATTAATACAGATAAAATAATCCAGGGAGTTGGATATAGACGCAGTATTTTGTACTTGCTTCTTCAATGCAGCATCCTCAGATATGGGTGAGGAAACTCTCAGGCTCACTTTAAAACACCATAGCAGTGTACCCCTGATAAAAACACAAACTGTAGACTTGCATTGGGATAACGATCACGTCGCCAAAGTTCATTAAAAACCGAAAGATGAGAACCTCCTGCAATAAGAGTGCAACCGCTCAGACAGTGAAGCAGCATCAGTGATAAGAGTTGTGGGTTTGATTCCCTCTGGAAACCTTTGCCTCTCACTGGCTAAAGGTATCCAACCACCACAAGACGAATAGGGGGATGAAGAAAGATCAAATGATGAAGCTAATGAAACGAATCTAAGCATCCGCGAAGGATGGATGAAGATGAAGGAATATAAAGGAGTTGACGTGCGAAAAAAGAACAGAACAGAACAGAAGGAAGGCTGAACAATTCACAACAGGCTATGAATATATGAAAGAGGATGTGAACATGACAGATGGAGAGGGAGAGATAAGAGGCGGTGAGAGACATCGTCTTAATTGTTATCGTGAGTGAGAGAGAGAGTGAGGAAGACAAAGAAGAAGAGGAGAAATTCTCGGCTGCGTCTTTGGGTTGAAAGGAAATGAAAGAGAGGGATGATTAGAGAAATGTGTGTGATCCTCATTAGAGCGATGATACTGCTGGGGATGTCACCCACACACATATACACAAACAGACGCAAGCAAGAGAGGTTATACAATACCACTCATGCCTTTTTCAAAACAAGTGACTGTAACTCACCTACTCTTTGTCAAACAGACAGTTTAGCATTTTAGGAAATGTGCTTAGTTGGTTTCTGACAGAGCAGTAACAGAACAGGAATACCACTCTGATTTTAAATATGAGGCAACAGCCAGGAGCTAATTCGTTTATCTTGGCTAAGATTGGAAACAGGGCGAAACAGCTAGCCTGGCTCCATCCATTACAAAATCCACCAGCATCTCTAAAACTCACTGATTAACAGATTATATTTTAGTTGTTTTTGCCACATAAAACATGAATTGCAAAACAACAACTTGTGGTTTTATGGGTGCCTGTGTGGAGCACTATGTGTAGTCTTGATGATAAGAATATCTTTGTAGCTGCTGCTGACTGTAGCTTCACATTTATAAGATCGATATTGACGTTGTCTAACTCTGGGCAAGAAAACAAAGATAAGCATTTCCTAAAATACTGAAGATCACAGACTAGTGTCAGACGACTGAACAAATATAAAATAGTGATTTGACGGCAGCTGACACCGTCAAAGCTGCCTGATAATCAGGCCAACAGTCTTCCCTTTGCGCTGCACTGAGCTGTTGATCAAATCACTATGACTCATGTGCTGTGTGATCAGCCACAGTAAATCCTCTGGAGCTTAGATGATCAGTCAATGAATTGATTTGTCAATCACCAGAAAGTTAATCGAAAACTTGATATTTTAAGGGGTGTTTTCACACCTGACAGCCCAAACTTAGGTTCATGTTTTGTTAGATTGTTTACATTTGACCTTGATTATTTTGGTTTCACGTTGCCATTTATAGAGCGCACTAAAGTCTTTTGTATGACATAAGAACATGCTGTCTTCATCACCTGCGTGGGTTGTGTCTACCTATACTTTACATTGATTGGTTTGTGGACGGGCGCATGTCTGACATTGGCATGTTGTCAGTTCAGCAGGTAGTAGTCTTTCCATTTGAATGGAGAAAATTAATGAAACAGTTTATAGTTGATTTCATTGCCACTGTAATATCATTATGATTTTACTACCAGCATCACCAATGTCCTTGTCGTTCACCCGTAAAGCTTCTGCTTCGTTTAATGGTGACTCAACTTCGTGCAATTGATCCAAAAGTCCAAACTATCCAAAAAGGTACAAAGAAACCGAATCACGACTGAGACCATCTCCTTCGGTCGGACAAAATGTGGGTCTGAGGCACCTTTCACACCTTTTATTTAGGTTCAGACAAAACTGAAAAGTCAGTAAATCCCCCAGACTTACTGACTTTCGGCGTCGGCGTGAAAGCAGCCTTAGTCATTCTTCGAGCCAGACTAGCTCACATACCAACTAACTACGTCCCGCTTCTCAGCTGTGAGGGCTTGCTGCTTCACTTTGTTTTAAATCACATGTAAACTGAATATCTTTAGGAAATAATTAAATCAATGAAAAGACCAATAGATAAAGTGCATAGACATTCCAACAATGCAATTTTTTCCCTTTCAAAAACATTTTAAAAAAGCTGTTTTTGATGTAAAATTCACCAGTTCAGTGTAAACATACTCCCAGATATCAGTTAAGATGAGACTGTTTCTGTTTGACTGTGACGAAATGCAGTGTTTGGACTGGGGGTGAAGTAGAGCACACCAGCCAACCATGCACTCAGACTAAATAAATTGTTTCTGACTCTTGCTATGTCTGTCTCCCTCCTTCTTTCTCTCTTCTGTCGTGGCCACTGTATCTTGTCTCTCCATCTCTTTGTCTCCCTGTCTGGTGAACACTGATCTCTTGAGGGCTCTTTGTTTCTCCACCATCACGTCTTCTCACAAACACAATCCAGACACTCACACCTGAGGTGTTTCATTCATACTGTATCACACGGCCAGAGAGATGACTGCTGGCCATGTTCCTTAAGTCTCTTTTGTCTGTGCCTCATTTTCACAGACACGTACTCACTCCATCTATCCATCCTCCATCACAGCCCGTTGCTGTCGGTACACTAGAGGCTAAAAGAGAGTGATAGCAGAGAAGAAAGAGAAGAGGAGGAATGAGGGCTATAAAGAGAGAGCTCATGCTGACACACTTAACTTTGTGATGACTTCAAAGTGTGTATACAGAGGGGGGGGGGGGTCATTATATAGAAGAAATGGATTACTCTCAAATTAGATTGCTGAGCTGTAGCACGGTTAGCTTGGCAAGCCCCCTCTCACACGCGCACACACACACACGCACACACAAACTTCTAATTTGTACTAAGGCCCTGTCGACTCCTCGACAGATCCATCATACAGGGAAGTCAAAATGGAGACATCAAAGCAGCTACAGCTCAATTGACACATATGTATACACACAGACATACACAAAATAAACCTGACAGCCCATTCCCATCTGCCAGCACAAGTGACCTTTTGCTTAACACTTTATGATCAATATCTCTGTTCTTTTATATGGAAATGTATAATGCAGTTATTGATGTGAAATATTTCTGGCTGACATAGAAACAGATCACCAGCCACTGTTTTGCAGAACATTATATGTAGAAATGAGCTCATCTTATCATCAACCTTCCGCTGAGATTGTTTAGTCTGAGAGCTTACATTATGGTTGTAATAATCTCATTGTATAGCCTAAGACTACTAATACTGGACATATGCAGTCAATGTTTTTGCATTAACATACTGTATAGTAATATATGTGTCTGTGGCATTACTTGGGGTTTTCTGCCATGAAATCATTAGAGGAGCAAAGAAAGATGAAGAAGCTGCAACCCCAAACAAATGGTATGATTAATATGGGAGTGCACCATAACTCAACTTAATTTTAATTGCACATTTCTACGTCCTCTACCTTCAACGGGCACACACATAATTTCCTTTGCTTAAGTATTAAAACAGAAAACAACACACATGCATATTAAACAACAACCTATAACACAATGTTTGCAATTTTTTCTAACTTTTGAATAGGATGTTCCTACTGGTTTTAATATTCTACTCATCTCTATAATTGATTGACTGAAAGAGACCTTCAGGAATCATAATGTACTTGTACTAGTCTGCAAATGATAAATTAGGTCTCTACATGTGAATCTCTGCAATTTGGTTGAAACTAGAGATGTTCTGATATGTATGAATAGAAGTGTATCATCAATTCCATTTTAAAGCAATGGTGTTGAATTAGTACTCTGTATCTATTGATACGCAAAGTCCAGGTATAAGAATCAGTATAAGGATGGGAGAGTAAGACATCATTGGCCATTAAGATACACTGTTAGATAAATTCCTGATTACTGGTGGCATGTTTTAAGGGGTAGGAGGGTTTTTTGTGTCTCAAGCTGCAGTACACGCTCGTACTTCTTCCTCTGTTTTGTTGTCAGCATCAAAATCCAACAAAAATACAGCTCATAGTAAGACTGGTTGCAGAAAATTGACTTAAGGCTTGAGGGTTTTGTGATAAACAATAGCAAAAAAAAAATATAACCAGTCAGCTTGATCTGTTAAAGCCTCCCACATCTCCTCACCAGTGGGCTCATACATGTATGTTTTACTCTAACAGCATGCTAAAAAAAAGGTGAAGTGACTCATAATGTCCTTGGCAAAGATGTAAACCTCCTGCCAAGATACTAAGTTGTCATATTAAGGCCAATGAAGGACTGATAATTGAATACCAGAGCAAGTCACAACAGAGCTATAATGTAAGAGGATTCTCCAAGGTGAGGTCGCTGCAGGCTGGAACCGAAGGTGACAGATGGCTCTGTGCAATACAACAATTTGAATGTGTGAAAAACTGCTTATGTCTGATGTTTTGCCCTTTTTAAAACACTGCAAAGAGTAGAGCAAAAAACACAAGTAATAGCTCAAGATGCTGCATAGATGAAAGATGAGTGAAGAGGCGTCCACCGCTGAAACAACACTAAGAGATGCTGTTTCAGGGCAGTGATTTGAGATTAAGTCACCATTTGCAGTCTAAGCTTGAAATGCAGAGCGAAAATCATCTGGAGGATCCTCAGTGACATTTTGGGAAAATGTATCTGTGCAGGCCTGTGTGTGTGTGTGTGTGTGTGTGTGTGTGTGTGTGTGTGTGTCAGGTGAAGCATAGCCAACCGCCAGTGTCTAGAGAAAACCAGTCTGCACAGAACAGCCCATACCTTTACACCACTTACCTACGCCTCATCACACTCACCCACACATGATCACATGCACTAAGTCGGAGGAAGAGAAAGACATTTTTTCCTCTCATTTACTCATTATCCCCCATCTTTGCTTTCCTAAAGCTCAAACACAGGCAATGAACAATACTGAAGGACAACAATGCATGATAGCTTTTAAAAAAAGGGACATGTGATCCAGCTCCAGAGGTGACCTATAGCTACATCAGTTAGTCTGGAAAACTTACTATAATTTCACTTTGATGAATGAAATCTCCTATTCACAGAAATTCTTTTGAAATGAATAATGTGATGTACCATCACTATCAAGAGTAATCAGGTGATGAGAACACAAAGTGACCTCCGTCTGTATATCATGAAACATCACTTAAAATAACATGATGGGACATGACATCAACTGTTCACCTTCCTGGCCCAAACGTGGCTTTACACGACTATGCTGCATATTTTTAGCACAACTGGCAGCAGTGGAATCTGGTAATCACGCCTGTGGTTCTCTCAACAGAGGGAATGGTTCTCTCCCTCGACTGCCACCAATGATGAAGATGAGTGGAGCTGACACTCGGAGCAGCTATTTGGCTTGTCAGGTGCATTTATTCCACGTGATGGCACTCAGAGTCCCACTCATTTACTGCTTAGTTGACCGATCATCACAAAAAAGAACCAGAGTGCCCATGAGTGAGATTTCTACTGATTCTTTTCGATTTTTTTCCCATTTGGATTGTTGAGATTTCTTTATTTACAAGAGAATGGAGGAGTTATAATGAGTCAATCAACAGAAAATGAATGAGCAATTATTTTGGGGATCAGTTCATCAATGCATTGATTTCTCAAGTCAAATCTTCAGCGGTCAAAAGTGACAATTAGCTGCTTTTGTCTGTGTGAATGTTTGAGATTCAGTTGATTGGTTTGACAAAAACAAGACATCTGAAGAGATCAATCTGATCTCTGGGAACCTGTGATGCAGGTTTTCACAATATATTTGGATCCAAATGAAAAGAATAATTGTCAACTGTTAGATTTGTGTGTAGCATATACATTTGTGTGTGTGTGTGTGTGTGAGAGAGAGAAATGAGTCGATTGGTCTGACCAAAATAAGAATCTGAAGAGATGTGCACATATGATGCACGTTATTCCAATATTTTTGGATCAATGAATTGATCATTGGCACCAAATGAAGAGAATAATTGTCCGCTGTTAGAGTTGTGTGTCTAAATAGGTGTGTGTGTGTGTGTGTGTGTGTGTGTGTAGCCTATGTGTTGGGGAGGTAGTGTTGCCTTGACTACCGGAGTGTGAAGGTATGGTGTTCAACAGCAGCTCACATTATTATGGATGTAGCTTGCGGGCGCGTGTACGTACACACACACACACACACACACGTACACACACACTCTGCGACAGTTGTAAGCTCCTGAAAACACCTGAGTCGTGACGGGGTTATGAAACAGCCGGGGAGCACGGCGCGGTGTCGGGAGCAGAGAAATCAAACAGTGGCTCGGGTTCGTGTCACATGAAACACGGTGAAAATACTCACGCTCTTCTTCCGCAGGTGCAGCCCGTGCTTGAGCAGCCCCGGCAGGTCCCGGATTTTGTGTCTGAGCTGAGCCTGGTCTCGTGCGCTCCGGTTCCACCGCAAGCCCGCGAGCAAGCCGTCCTCTGCGGGCTCCGAGTCCTCCATGTCTGCTTCTCCCGTCTCCCTGTCCTCGAGCTGCCTGTCCCCCGGTTTTCCCGGTGTCTACTGTCTCCTCACGAGGAAGCGCACCGCCGTCCGTTCGCCATTTCCCCCCCTCGCCTCTCGCGCACACTCGTCCGCGACCCGCATCTGCTACCAAACCGCGCGCGCTGTTTAACGACCCGCTGACTGGGTTCCGCAGCACGCGACGCTGCTGCTGCTCCACCCAACGGCTCGCGCGACCTACTAGTGCCAGGTGTGTGTGAGTGTGAGAGAGAGAGACAGACAGACAGASAGAGAGAGAGAGAGAGAGACAGACAGACAGACAGAGAGAGAGAGAGAGGGAGAGAGAGAGAGAGTTCCAATTCTGGTTCAATACATCACTGTGAGGACATTTGGTTGGTCCTCACAAATTCAATTGACTGTTCGAGGGTGAGAATTAGGTTTAAGGTTAGAATTCCGTTTCTAAGGTTTAGGGTTAGGATAGGTTTAGAATTCGGTTTCTAAGGTTTAGGGTTAGGTTAGAATTAGATTAAGGGTTAGGTTAGAATTAGATTAAGGGTTAGGGTTAGAATTAGGTTTCGGGTTATGCATTTAGTTGTGATACATTTTGTCAATGAGTGTCCTCAAAACTACAGAGAGAAAGTGTGTGTGTGTGTGTGTGTGTGTGTGTGTGTGTGTGTGTGTGTGTGTGTGTGTGTCACAGGTGCATCGAAACATTGCATCACTTCCATCTCTCATTCTCTGACCAGTCTGACCGGAGAAAACCCCATTGAAATGAAACCTTCATATTTTCTTTGTTGTGTTGTTAAGCTGCAGCAGACATGACAGCGTCACCTCACTGTTGGTTTGTGTCACTACTCTAAATACAATAGAGGGAGGATAGTAAGGAGGATAATAGTGTTTGGGGGAAGGGAGAAGAGAAACAGGCAGAAGGTACTCAGTAAGGCTGTGTCGCCACATCACCTGGATCATATTTCCATAGGTAAACAAAGAGCAGCCAGTGTGTGTGTGTGTGTGTGTGTGTGTGTGTACATTCAGAGGCCCATTTTCAACTTCTAAGCAGTGTTTAGTCCTGCCTGTGTGAAAATGCTGCAACATGAGAGGCTTTAAACCCAGCACCTCTGTGGGTTGTTGAATATGCGACACATTACCCTGCCATGTGGTTTCCCCCCCACATGACAGGATAATTTTCATAATGATAAAAGTCATCCTTTTATAATATTCCCCTTCCTTGTACACTTCCTTGAGCACTTTTGCGTAACACAGGTAATAGTGTGTGCCAATGCTTCTTAAAGATACAAATTCAAATTAAATTTTATTGAATTTGAATTTGTATCATATATGTCGGTCAGTGAGTATAGTTGCAGATGAAAAAGAGGAAATGTAGCACTGTGTACCGTGCATGCATCCACACATAGCTCAAAGAGGACTAACTCTTCCTTCAGGGTAAAGAAATACTTTTTAACTTAAAGGTTCAGTGTGTAGGATTTAGTGACATCTAATGGTGAAGTTTCATGTTGCAGCTGAATACCCGTCACCTCACTCTCCCCTTCCAAGCATGAAGGAGAACCTAATGGTCGCCTTCAGTTGACATAGAAACTCAAAAGGTGTTTAGTTTGTCCAGTCTGGTCTACTGTACCAACTGCTGTAAAAAGATCTGTACAATTTAGATGAAACGCTCCAAATGCATAAGATGGTAGCATTCCTATACGGGATATTTTGACTTCAGTTTGGGATAGTGGGTGGAAGTGGTGAGTGTCATTCATCTTTATATATACGGTCTATAGTTAAGAAACAATGGTGTCATTACTTAGTGTGTTCAGCTCAGAAGAAACAGCTTTCTCATTCCAGCAGTAAAACATAAGTGGTGGTTGCCACAGTATTGGGCTCTCTCAACCTGCTGGTGTTGCCATATTTAACAACACCGCCTTCGCTCCAGTGCCAGTAGTGGTAGATCACTATGTTGCAGAGACTGAAACAGTGTTTTTAACGAACCTGCTAACGGCATCAGCATGCTGATAGTTCACCAAGAAAGTATTTTCTTTGTGTTTTTGTACAGATCTGACTACTGATTTCTCAACAACAATTTGCTGCACCTCCGAATGGCAGAACAGCTCAGGTTAATGTTGTACAAATATGTGCTTCATGTATCTGCACCACTGATGTCTGAGCACAGCCATCAAAACACACTGCATACATGGTAAAGGAGGAAGTGTGCAAAAAGCTGTTACATAATAAGAAGAATGCACCATTAGTCACATTCACATTTTGTATTTCTTGTGCGTTTATGTCAAAAACATGAACATGGGCCAACAGATTCCAGATTTGCTTTAACTTTCATGTATCTTTTTTTAATATAATTTTCAGAAATATAAATTATATGTTAAATTGAGCTCAGTAGAAGAGAGGAAACCATAAACTCAGTATGTAATCAAACCATGCTGCTTCTGTACAGGGTGACCCAAAAGGAAAGTTTCAATGAGGTCAAACGTTTCTTGTGTCACTAAAACAAGCAAGGTGATATGTTATTTCCTACTACTTTGATAGGAAATCACAATATGGGGAGTAGGTTAAAATCACTTTGTTCTGCAATACTCTCTCACTACGATAAAAAGGATTAAGGTCTGCATCAAATTTAAAGCAGCATACAAATCAAAACTATGCTTTTTCATTCTGTACCAGCTTTGTGTCTTAATGAGCAACCAGGGAGTCATGGGCTCAACCAAGCCTGTTAAAGGGCCGCAGCTCACTTAGGAACTTGTTGTAAATGCATTAAATTTGATTAAAGAATTAAGATGAGTATGACTGTGAAAGATAATTAATTTGAATTCAATAGATCCAAGAGGATCTGAGCCTGATACTCCAGATGACACAAAGCTGAGCACAGTGCAGCTGGAGTGCACTGAGTTCAGTTGTATAAGTCAAAAGTCGAGCCTGCTTTTCTGATAGGACGTGTAATCTGGGATAATTGGCCCCTTTCAGGGACGCAGATTATACCAACAGCTCCGCCTTCAGACATAATGGACCAGCATACTGTACATACAGTTCTACAGCTGAGTAACACACACACACACTCACACACCAAAAAAGCTCTTTATTGTGATCAAACGTTCGCTGTAACATTTAATACATTCACACATTAAAGCCGAGTGGGCTCCTGAATCCAGACGTTAACAAGGGAATAGAACAGTGATGAACACTGACACACGATTGTGGTTTATTTTCCTCACACAGTCGAGATGAAGATGCATGGAAGTGCTCCTCAACAAGGACCTTTTAATCACTTTGTTTCAGTCAACACCATGCAGCTGCTGCTGTTGACTTCCTTTTTGTTTGAGCTGTCAGATTGAGATGCACGACAGTAGAAATACATTTAATTAAGGGTGGCACAATCTTTGCAGGTTTCCTAGACTAACACTGATTTCAACGGCTTTAGATCTCTGATTCAAAACAATATTTATAGTCCTACAGCAGTAGACAGAACCTCCACAACACAACATGAAGTAAAAGATTTGACAAGAAGTACTTCAGCATGTAAAAATAACAAATCCTGATTGGTGGATGGAATTATTTCTTTTTTGGCTGTACACCACAGTCAGGGGAGAAAAGTCTCATTTGAAATAACCGAAACTGCTCCAATTCATATAAATTAAGACTCTCATTGCTGCCAGTATGAAGTAAGTAATGTAAGTATCACATTCAGGATGGAAGTCTGTATATTAACACTGTACCATGCTTGACAGGGTAAATGGCTGGTGAATGAACTCTGTATGGAGAGCTTGAAATGCTGCAATTTTAGCTAAACTATCATACAGAATAACAAATAACTAATTAAGCTTGACATCAACTAAACCATTTGACATTGAGTGAAAGGTTTTTGGTTTGTGTTTTAGAAAGCCCATCTGGGGCCTTGTTACAGAGAAACTAAGGTCAGCCTCCCTTTTTCAGATTATCCTTCAGATAGCTGCCTTCTGAGATTTTGGATACAATGCTGAAACAGAAGCTGTGAATGATCTAAAACAGCAAAACTAGATCTCTTTGAAGATTTTGCACACAATAAAAGGAACAAAGGCACTGCACAATTTAATATGCGTCCTGCAAAGTTACACAATGCTTGTGAATGTCTGTCACGCAGTAATTTAAGTGAAGCCTAATGACCTGGATCGTCCCCTGGTGGCTGGCTGCAGTATGGGTCATAAACCCTCAATGTTAGCTGCTGGGACAGTAAAAAAAAAATTCCTCTAGTGTTAGGTAGGTCACGCTGATGTATATTTAGGTATTCATGTTTCTGATAAGTTTGGTTTTAGTTATTTGGTGCTATGTTAATGGGCTGAGACGTCATGATTGACAGCTGAGACAGCTGAGTCTGCCTCGTGATTGGTAAGGCGTGTGTATTCTTTTCTGGATGATGGGAGGAAGTGGAGACGTGTCCTCCAGGAGAAGTATTATAATCAGCATGCGAAGGACTTCATTGAGGAGTTTGCATGTAGCACACGACCTTAAACTTCAATGGCTCCTCAGTAAATCCAAACGATGAAGCAAGCTTTGTATTTAGACTCAAAGCACGAGCAGCCATCTGAAAAGGAGGAAGCGAGTTAAACAGTCAGTGTTTGCTGAATCGCTGAAGAGGCAAAAGAAGAGAAGGGGGCTTTTGGTTTTCTTGTGCCGTGTCTGGAGGATGATGAAATATGCTGCTCTGTCTCTGGGGACCACTGAGTCCAGCCACTGATACATGCACACACAGCGAAATCAAACAAACCCCATCCAGCACAGTTTTTGAATGAATGAGCCCCACATAGTAATACATATACAGTAGAGCAGGGTGACAGGATGGTGTGCAGGCAAAATGAATGGATTATAGGGGGAGGGGAGGAGAATTAAAGGAGATGAGGAAAGGAGGAACAAGAGGGCCAAACAGGAAGAAAGAGCGATGGTAAACCAATTACCATAAGTCTGAAGAAATTCTTTCATCCTAAAACTGTCAGCACACATGCAAATATACACACATTTATCTTTTTTTCTATTCTGCGTCTCTCCTGCATACAAATAAAGCCCCTTCACACTCACAAACACGCTGGTCAGTCATCTCGCTTTATCACTCACTCGCACACATTTTCAGAGCTCTCTTCAAACAAATGCACTCTCGATTAAATATTGAAGAGAGCCTGTGGCAAACTGAGCGGAGATACAATTCCTCTAGTCTCATATGGAGTCTCCTCGTCCATGGAAGAGGAGGGAAGCACCAAAGGAAGGGAGAAAGGAGGAGGCCTGAGAAAAAGGCA